AATTGAACCAAATAATGACTTATATTCTCATATAATTTTGCTAATCTTGTGTGGATCGATTAACCCTAAAAGACTGCCCCGTTTTATTTTTTGAATCAATCTTAAAGAATTTCTCTAGTCTTTGACTTTGTTTTTTTGTTTGGGTCGACCCTAAAAGGTAACACAATTTCTGATTACGTTAGCATTGTCCCAAAATTCATCTACACTTTTACTATCCCGCTTCCCGCATACTTAAACATGTTATATGCAAGTGGCAATTCATGCCTCAAGTTGACTTTTTCACTATAAAAACAAATGTATTTAACATTTTATTTAGATTTAAGTCATTGTATAGTTTCAATATTTTAGATTTTCATAATTTTTACTAATTTATCAATTAAATATATTAATAATCAAAGTTATGCATCAACAAATAAAACTAGTAAAATTGTTGTGTTTAACTTAGAATGGAGGGATTGAGTATCTATCACCATCTTAATAAAGTGAAAATAGGGATGGAAATTTTTAAAAGGAGGGAAGGGATGATTGTATTTTTATTAGTCTATTCGCGTTATATTCAAACTTGGATCTTCAATTAATCTAAAAAGATTCGTACTAGGTAATGGGCTAATGGCATATATTTATTGATGTTTACTAGACATCTAGGTCATCTATTTGTACCATATATATATAGTGAATTAGTGATCTAAAATGTAGTGGAAAACCAACTTCCAATTCTTTCACAAAGCTGGACATTATGGAGTGGCTTATTATAGCGTTACAGAAAATCATTTTGACTGTGAAACATGGCATTGTACTACATTACCCAATTAAGATTTGTTTGTGACAGCATCAGTAGTGCACTATTACATGACAATTGACAAATAATCAGATCTTACATGATTTTGGAGCCTATATGTCAAGGTAAAATTAGTAAAGTTAAGCAATTTCGCATTGAGATAATCCATGAGAGTATCAACCCCTTAAATTTAAATTATTGACCACATTTGAGGTTAGTTATTATTGGATAAACAATAGTATCAAATTTAATCGTTATCACACATTTGAGGTTAGTTATTATTGGATAAACAATAGTATCAAATTTAATCGTTATCACATATATCAAGTTTAATCATATAGATGAAGACCTTAAATTGACTCTTCATTAACTACTAGTGATCATGCATGTAATTAGAAGTACAAAGTTGAATTGTTGAAGTAAAATATTTAGAAAGTCTATGTGTTAAGCAATACAAAGTTGTTGAAGTTAAATGTTTAGAAAGTCTCTGTGGTTAGCTTGATTTGAATATATACTGTTCATGTTAACTCTTTGATGTTGTGCATCTTGATCTTTGGTACGAGAATAGAACCAAAAGTAAACGTATGTGTCAAATGGAACAACTAAAATTTTAACTTACTAAAATTTAAAGTTATTACATGGAACTGATCAAATTCTAATTACTAAATTAAATTAGATAGTTTCTACAAGTATTAATTTGTAGGAACTAATTAATAAAAATAAAAATAAAAATGTGACACATACAAATTGTTCTGCGATGGATGGAAGAAATATTTAATTTTTTTTCATGAAAATTAATTAAAGCAGTGATTTATTGTATAATTAAATAAATGTATTCTTGGATGAAGATGTATTTCAATTAACAATGTAGACATATTCAATTATATAACTTAAGTAATAAACTTATTAATTTAAATATATTATTGTAGAAAAATGTATAGATTTTAATAAGTTAAAAATATATAAATAATATTTGTTTGAATAGAACACACCGTACCCTAACATTATGTTAAAAAATTTAAAAGCAAGAAACTCAATTATGATTTCCTCCATCATATTTATTATCTCATATGTACTACTCCATAATAAAAACTGTTTTAATTTAGATAATGTATCTTCCCATAAATGTTTGGAATACAATTTAATTAATTAATCAAATAAGCCAATGTACTTGCATAACAGAAACACGAGGTTAGATTAAAACAAGCTTTTTAATTAAACAAGTGCATAAGAATATTGAAAGAGACAATAATAATAGAGCAAGGTACAAGTTATATAAGGTGATATATAGATAGTACTAGATGTAGGGCTAAAGAATAAGATGGGCATATAATTTAGGTGTAGAAATGTCCCACCAAATTAAAAGCTAAGAAAAATAATTTTATAACACATTTAATATTCATAATTTTATTATAACTCCAAATTAAGCAATTTGTTTTTATTATTTTGGGAGGTTCACAATTCTCATACACAAAAAAATTGTACTCTCTATTCTTCCCCCTGAAAAAAAAATAAAGAGCCCACATGTTCCCACCAGAAGGGAATAAAGCAACATTGAATGAGACGAATTGAGGGGTTGCAACACTTACTATCTTAACCCCTTATTTTTATTTTTTGTGTTTGAGATCATTTTTCCAGACAGCTATTACAATGGCGTAGACTTTCCCCAACATTTTATGTGTCTTGTTTCTGCCCACATATTTTCTCCTTTCTCCCTCTTTTCCCTACGATGGAATCTTTCCCTTTTCTCTCTCCTCGCTCTTTTGTCTTTTGCTCTATTTCTCGTTTTTCTTTGCTTGAACGAGCTAATAAGCCACAAGGGTGTTACAAATTTACACCTACGACAACAAACCTATACTATATACGCCCTTAATATAATCATGTGTTAGTGTGTTATTAATGTATGCCTTAAGTTTTATATCATGGTGCATGCACTACTTTTTGGATTTATGAAAGCTATAGTTTATAATTATTTTATAAACATGCCCATAATGGAAGGATTGCATGCAGATGAAATGAAATGCAACTTTTAGATAGTTGGGAATTCTGCAAATCTGTATGTTATAAAGGTCCATGATGATGAGACTAGACTAAGACTAAGACTATTCCATTAAAATAGGAACTGTAACTAGCTAACACAGTAGTGTACACAGTAATTGGCGTGGTGTTACTAGATTTGACTTGTCACACCACGTCTAACATCTACATACCAATTTAACACTTTGGGTTAATGTTTATTTTTGCATTTATATCGGCTAGTTTTAGTAATGATCATGATGTTTCTAAGATATTATAGTTCTACTTAGAGTTCATTTCATTGTCTATCTATAAGAGAATCCTTGTTTTTGTACCTCTTCTAGCTTAGACCAATTGGAGACGTGAGGGAGTCAAGTGAATAATTATTGATATTTAAGTAATAGCCTTGTTCGGACATCATAACTAGTTTTGCACTCATAATGATTATAGGAACAAAAACTAATTCTAAATTGGAAAACTACTTTCTTTGGTTTTGAAACACTTATAATATACTTTTATTTATCAAAGTTAAAAACTAAAAATCGCAACGGTAACAAATTTAATAATATGTCCTAAAAGAGCGGAGTTAAATGGATCGGATTACACTTTTAAGAATCGTGATTGGTTACAGGATTACAACACTATCCTATACTGGATTGCATTGGATAGAAAAGGCTATAGTTTAGCAACTAGAGTAGCTTGTTATAAACAAGAAATGTTCACCTTATAATTTAAATTTACTGCCACACCACAAGGAAAAGCCAATATGGTTTGGGTAGCTTAGCTTAATTAGCTTCTTCCATCAAAGCCTCAAAGGACTCCTCACCTAAGCTCTTTGAAACTTTCTATCATAATCATTCTAATCAATCTTCTTAAGAACAATTAATTAACCTAGTTTATTACTGTAATCAATCATTAGTAAGTGGTTAATTTGCTGCAGAAAATAATGGGGAAATGCTTTAAGATCACCAAGAACTCAAACTAGACCTATTTATCAAGTTCATGATATATGGTATACATACAAATGGAAAATGGTAAATGACAATCAGAAAATATATAGCATCCTTATACAATAATGTCTCAAAATATGAAACATACCAATGAAATTTTCGAATTATAAGGGCATGTTTGATAGGTTGTCTCTTCCATCTCACATATATCCATTTAGTTTTAAGGAAACCATATTTTTAAAAATTAAAAGAAAAAAACTTATAGGCTCAATCTTTTTCTTAGGTTCTTCTTTTTAATTCCTCTCCCTATCTTCACCTTTATTTTATACTCAATGCAAGTGTATATGTTTTCTCTTTTCTCCAACAACATTGTGAGTTTAGTAAGTGTGGTACTTGATACATCAGCCTCCTTGCTTCTTCATTATCAAACACTTGTTGCTGGTGAATAAGTAACATGCTTGCATTCATCATTTTAAAGTCACTCCTTTTTTACTCCTTTTCATTCAAGGGCCCCTTAAACTCCATGATTCATACCTTAACAACACCGAAATTATGAACATCATTTCCATTTTTATGACTATGTACTATTTAGATTAACTAGACTCCATAAGTTCTTAATTAATGTAAGTCTCTTTTATGATGAGTTGAACTCAAAGTGACAGCGCTAGAGGTTTCACCATATTCGTGACCCTTCATCCAGCGTATGAAGATGTTCAAGTAAAAGTAACTGGAGGTATCACCATATTCGTGAGTGCAGCCTTCATCCAGTACAATTTAGATTATTGAAACTCGGATGAAAATTTAATTTCTAATATATCACATTATAAACTTCTAAACTGCAATCAATTGAAGGGAATCACATAATTAGGGTACATTTTGATCAATGAAGTCTTAATCTACTTGGTAAGAACCGTATATGGTTATATATTAGGTTGCATGTTTATTTGAATCTCTTTTCACCATAGTAGATCTAGCACTTGCACCTCTTCCCCTTACCATCGTAGTATCTTTCCTTTGATCATAACACTTCTCTAAGTCATTTAGGTTATGTAATAATCAAATATTTCCTTCTTATATAACCTAATAATAACAAGAAGCACCTTTTGAGTAACTTCATGAGCCACATTCATCAAATGTCATTCAAATCACAATCTTGTATTGTTGAACTTGCTATGTATTTTATTTACAAGTTTCACCACTTTCATTATTTTACACTCATGTTTTTCATCAAAATCCCTATATAGCTTTGAAGATTAGCATAAGTAAAAAACATGGCCTAATCATCTACTCAATGCTATGCACTCTCTAGATTCAGAGAACCAATTCTTTCACAAGATGAGCTATATAATAAAAGTCATCATTTTGAAGATGTTAATGTTCCAAAAACAAACCCATATTAATCTATGAACATATGTCAAGAGATCGGACAATTACCGATCCCAGAGATTGATTTATCACTACATGAATAAACGGGGCTGGGGAGGAGGGGTAGAAGCAAAGTAACAGCTGAAGAAAGCAGAAATAAAAGGCATACAAACAAAGGCTGAAGTGGGAAGTGCAGGAGGAAGTATTGAGGCAAAACAGAAAAGAAAAGAAAGATAATTAATGAGAGTTAAACCAAACAAGTAACGGGCGTAGAAATGAAGCAACCAAACACGAAAGAGCAAATGTGCTCTTTCCCTAAATTCAGTAGTAGTTGAATACTTGATTTGCTCATACCCCTTCAGTTTTTATTTATTTTTTTGGCCTTACTAGTTAATATTACCTCAGTCAGGATGTATGTCCACACCCAAATCCTTGGTCCAATGGTTCGCTCCTCAAACCCCCATAATGAGCATAAAAAATAGCCATGGTTCAGTTGTACAATAGAAATTACTACTTTACCTCATCACCCCGTTTGAATAACGCCTCGATCCACTTACTCCGCCAAAAAATTAAAAGAAACTAATCTCAAAGCCTAGAAAAAAGAAGGAATAAAGTTGAAGTATCTTTACTTAGCCAATGAAATGAAGAGCAACAAAAACCGTGACCTGAAATTAAAATTAAGGGATAAATACCAAGTAGCAGTAAAAATTACTGGGAATAATATTAAGATGAAAGAAGATAAAGCTAGAGATGAGGCAAAAGAAAGGAGAAGATGACAGATGTTAATGAGAACAAAATAAAAACCAGCACCATGTTTGGTTTGCATGCTAAACACGTTTGATTCTAGTTGGAAGTGTTTGATTCATTGATGATAAGAAAATTTGATGATAATGTACTATTAGATGAGCATGATATCATATGATCTCACCTTTCCTCTTAATACTACTACTAGTAGTATTACCTTAACAACTTGGTTGTACACAAATTAAGGCATATCCCTTCCCCAAAAATATTTAATTTTACTTCCTAGTACTTCTTTCGTTTTAAGACTAGACTTATCACGACATGGGATACCCCCTCATAACAATTGTGTGATCGATATTAGTTTACAACGATAATAATACACTAAATACCGTGTTCGTTCTAGCTAGGGCTACGATTTATCCATGGCAATTCGAGTTTCTTTAGTAATCTCGACTTGTTTATCTATATGAATTGCACAAAAATCGTAAGTTAAAAGCTCGAAAAAAATTGAAAATGATGATGATGATGATAATAGTAGTGTAACACCAAAGGAAATTAAACCCAACAAATAATTGTAAATAACAAGAGAAATGGAGGATGAGAAATTGCTCAATAATGTCAAATATGATATTAATAAAAATTTAAGAATAATCAACTCAATCTCAAAATTCCTCATCCTAAAAGCTAGCAGCAGTACCATGAAGAAGCTAAGTACATCATCATCAACGTCCTAAAGAGAGAAAAACATGAGAAAGAGAGAGTTTAATTAAAACCCTAGAATTAAAAACCTCTAGATTACTAACCACAATGACACAACCAACAAAACACAAGAATAATAATAATACTACTACTAAAAATAGAAATTATTAATTAATAGCTAATAATAGTAGTAGTAATAATTTAACTAGCTTAGCTTAGCTTGGTTTAGTACGAGTAAAATTTATACTCTATACTTTACTTATTTTGAAATAATAAAATTAATAATAATAATTTTAGGTAATGGATATGATATAATTTTAGGGCTTTTTACCAAGAGTATGCTTGTTGTTATGCATCCAAACTTTGAGCACTTGACGCTTAACTTGAACTTCAGCACAGAATTGTTGTACAGCAGTTTCATCATGTTTTTGAATTCTCCAACCCAATTTCTCAGCAAATGCAAGCATCTTATCCTTTTGTTCTTGACTAAATTTTGTTCTGTGTCTTTTTTTGGGTACCATCATCATTGCACTTCCTCCACCACCTACACCTCCACTACCGCTTTCCCGCCTCCCCTCGCCCCCGCTGCTACTCGGGTGGGACATATCATCCCCCATGTCCCCACTATGTGTCCCACCCGATGTTGACGGTAGCACAGCGAGGGGCCGGTAGTGGTGGTGATACCCGGACCCCGGAGGCGGCGGGGTCCGGTAATACCCCGAGAATTGCGGGTACATTGTACCCGCAGGTGCCGGAGGTGCCACCGCTGGAGACGGACCCGTATTCGGCGATGTTATATTATCGCCGCTGATGTCGGTCTCCTTGCGGTGGAAATTACGGTGGCAGTTACAGGCAGCGCACTTTAGCGCGTCTAAAGTGCCTTCCTCGCCTGCCGCCATGAACTCACCGCAGCCGTCTACGGCGTGGCCACCGATGTTAACAGCGTGGTTTTTTAAGCATTCTCTGTACCTTACAACTACGGATCTTCTCTCTCCTCCACCTCCACTCGCTGAGCTAACTCGGGGTCGACTCGGAGCTGAATTTCCACCACTACCCCCAATTGGGTCGTAACTCGGTGGGACTACTACAGCTGCAGCTGGGGGTTGTATGGTAATTTCCTCTTCGTCTTCTTCTTCCTCCTCTTGCTCTTCATCGTGTTCATCTTCGAACTCCATTTTTTTTTTTACCTAGTAATTTTTAAAAAATAAATAAAAAAAAAAAAGGGAAAAGGGGTTGTTCTAAATTCCTAAATCCTAAATTAATTGCACAGAAGATCTGGGTTTTGGGAGTTGATGATGATGGAATTTGGTCGGAGAGAGAAAAATAAAAAAGGTTTTGGGTTGTTTTTTTTTTTTTTTTTTGACCCTCTATTTTTTTTTTTATTATTATTATGTAAAATAAAATACAGAAAGTTGAACAAAGCAATTTAGAGGAGAGAGAAAAAAAGAGGGGTTTAATCTTAAAAAAGAGAGAGAAGGGGGGTTTAAGTGAGGGTGGGAAGAAGATAAGAGAGGATTGGGAGAAGAGATGAGTGTTTGAAAGAGAGAGGAAGAGAGAGAATGAGAGTGTGGACATCAATTACCCGATCTGCTGCCAATTTTTTTTTAAAAATTAAAAAGGAAAGTATGTCCTACTTTCATTCCATACCCCCCCCCCTCATTTTGCTTTTCATTTCTTTCTAATTTGTAATTTTCTCCACCCATATCTAATTTTCGCTCAATTACTCCGTTATCTATTCCAGTTGGGAGTTACTGAGTTTTACTTACAATCTGTTTCAAAGTAATGGTTACGCTTTTACAAGTTTTAAAGTAATAGTTATACTTTACAATAGATAAAGATAGAGTTGGGTCTGATCATGGTGTAAAACTATGCATGATGAACTAACCCTTGGCAATGTTTATATTGTTGGAAAAGTATGGCGGGGGTACAACATGGCTCAACACAACATGAACATGGGTCATCTTTGATATAACAAGCCATTTGTTATTAGCATTATGTCGTAGGGTGTGTGATTGTGTGGTGCTGACCCTCTGACATGTCAATTGCATCCTATGTTATTTTAAGAACTTTAATAACAAGTTTATTTCATACGACATGTATAACTGTCCCAAAGTACCTAATATAAAAGAGCAAAAAGAAACAAAAAATGTAGCAATATTAATCACTTAGCTTTGTTAAATTTTCCCTTGGTTAAGTTATGTTAGCATCTTCTATGAAAAAACGAAAGAAAAAAAAGAAGTTAAAGATAGTATGAGTGAATGGGTTCAAGATATAACTTAACTTTATATAAAAATTAGAGACAAAAAAACCTTACTAAGAAGAGAATGTTCATATTTTTGTAAAGCATCCAAAATGAAAGAGGGAGTAATATGATAGTGTTGTGTCTCAACAACTTAGTCAATTGCCCCCTTTTCCCTTACATGTGTATTTCTAATCAACACTAATTTGTCTCATAATATATGCCTCTATGCCATTTTTATGTTTTTTAATTTGTGGTATTCAACACGTCCTTATTATAGATATTTTTATCTTGAATCATTTTGTATTTTAACTAAAAATGTATGCCCATCATCAACAATATATATGGAAGAGTCGCTATACTATTAAAAACCAAGTAGTGGTTGTAACAAGTCTTCATAATGCTTTGGATTAGCAATGTACCATGTGTACGTATTGGAAGAAATGGTGTATTTCATTTTCCTGATTTTTATTTATTCAAAAGTTTAGCTGAACTAGATTAAACTTATTTAAATTATGAATTAAACCTAAGTAATCTCATATAATCCCTAATTTAAATAAACTTATTATTTTTTAATTAAATAAAAATAAGATGAATTAAACATGGTTTGATTCCATTCCATCAATGACCGCCAATGAATTTCAAACTTACATATCATTGAATAAATTACCCTTGTTAGATCAACTAATTTGTCACATGCATGATTAATAATTAATCTCAATGATTTATAAAATTATTCTTGGTTCTAATTGCATAATTTTCACTTCGCATATCTAAGCATCAATACTTTAAAACAACGCATTATATATTTACGAGTTGATTATGTTCATGAAAGATAACACTTAGAAACTCATCCATTACCGCATTGTTTGTTATTTTTAGTGTACTATCCAAAATTTCCTATTCTCCAATAGAAAATATCAAGTTGAAGTTGTACATTAACTTATTTCTTTTATTCGACTTTAAGAAATGAAAGGGGCATATAGCATGGGCAGTGTACCAATATGTATGATCAAGTAACAAAAGATTTTATCTTTAACGATAATTTCATGGACATCCTAAAAAAGGTGTGTGGAATTAAGTTTTCATATAACCTTACTAATTTAGAGGCGCTGAAATCCAAGAATTCAACTTTCTTAGGATTAGATTATTTGTGCCTCTTAATTAGGATGATATAGTCACTTATCATCACACTAAACATATTGAGAAATTGTCTTAAAAATCGCTAAATATTTACTATAATGCCTACCGTTTATTATTATTATTTTTTACCATTTTTATATATATAATACTTATAACGTGTCACATTTATTATATTTGGTCCAACTACATCTCATTTGTGATTTGACCATACATTAATTTTTATCACTGTACGATTTGTACCACAATATACCTTAAGATTTTTGTAGATATGATTAGTGATTGTTTGGTTGAATATTTAAATCAAAATACCATATCCTATATGATATGTCTTGCTCATGAATTCCTAGTTTATAGAAATAGTTTTTAGGTTAATGGTTAATTAAATTTGACCATTAAAATAAAATATGGTGGATTGTTTAGGGAAGAACTTTGTGAATTAGCTCCTTCCCGAAATGTTGTATTTACGTCAGATACAAATGCATAAGCACCAAGTGTATCAGATAGAGGAATTCAATTAGTTATTTTATTTGATTAATACAAATATGCGCATATAAAAATTTCAACAAAATTCTTTCTATGTAACAGAATTTTTGGAATTAAAATATTGCCAAATTCAAACAGTTGTAGAAAGATCAGGTTTTTAGCATTTTCTATTTTCACACATTACCAGGTTTTTAGCATTTCTAAGCTTGATCAAAGTCAATTATTACATACAATTGAAAGACACAAATCAGTGTTCAGTTTCTGCCAACGTGATTTTTTAATTCGTCATAAATAATTGGTTTTTGTATTTTATTTTTATAGAAAAAAAAAAGTCACCGTAAATGTTTGCTATGTGGAGACACACTAAAATTGAATTGGTGCTGTACATTAGGAAATATAATGAAATCCTTCTGGTCAAGGTCCATGTTTTATCTAATTTGTTATCTTCGATGAATAATTTCAAATAAAATCTTCAAAGAATAATTGCAAATAAAAACGGGGACATTATTTTATGTCCTAATTATCGTAATTAGCATATTGATTCACTTACATGTAATGACCTTTAGATCGACAAGTTGGATGAGAAGGATATATATCATGAACAAGAACTTCATTCATTCGAGAGCCCAGGGAATTGAAATAAGGGTTATTCCATCACAAAGTTGACACTCATCCTATTAAAATCTGACTTAAAAAATTATTTGACATAAATACATGCACATAATGTAACAGGTTTTACTGCAAATAGTCATATGTACTCTAATCTGAAATATACAATTTGCAAGACAAAATTGAGTTTAACAAGAAGTTAAGGGAAACAACATTTTTGTAAAACGCTCAATGTGAAAATGTAAAAAAAAAAAAAAAATTGATGGTGAAGGAATGAACGATAATTTAGGGTGAGAGAAAATCATAGTCCAAAATCGACAAGGCAAATCTAAGTATATCATTATACATGTGCATAGTTAGTAATTGTTATGATGAGATAAGCGTAACAAAAAAATGAGCAACTTGGTTTGGAGAAATTCTTTGCAAGTCACCACTTATTATTACACATGCACATGCATTTACCGGCAGCTTACTAGTTGCTTCGCTTCTCATTTTCATGTTTGTTTGTGTGTTATAGTTTATGTGTGTCCTACTGTCCCTTCAACAATTTTTGGTCCTTTTTCTTTCTTCATTAATAATGGGTACTTTTAGAAAAGTTTTATAGGATAAACATGCAATTAAATTAGTTATACCCATAATTAATGAGCTATAGTTTATTAATAGCATGCCATTCCCGTCAAAAAAAAAAAAAATTAAAAATAATAATAGCATGCCATAACATTGAATTTCTTGTTTTGTGTTATTATGAAAGTTATTGCATGACAATCATCCTAATTAATTAAGTAATACAAGTACACAAATGTCTTAGAGGATGGAATGGAGTGGCAATTTGGGTCGATAATGCTGGGTTTATTACTGCATGGGGCAATTTCAGGTTGTGTTGAACATATATCATAAATAGTGTTAAATTAAATTTAATCCAACTACTCCACAAGAGATGATAATTGGGATACGGTGCAAGTCGAATTCAAATGTCTCTTAAATCTTCAAGTTAGGATTAAGTTGAATTATATTAGAGATTGTCGTCTCTCTGCCTCTCAACTCTTCAATCTTGCAATGGAAAAGTTATCATATTTGTCATTTTCTCCACTGTACTACTCCTTTAATTTCATGATTATAAATATCAATTAGTGAATATGCTTGGTGTAGTTGGTGTCCTTGGAAATTCAGCAATGTCACAAATTCGAACTCTACCAATTACATTTATTTGGGAGTTGGGGGATTCTCTTACCTCCCCCAGGGGCGGATTTATAGTGGCACCGGCGTCACCAAAAACTAATTATTTTTTTTTTTTTAAAGGTGTAAATTTATACCTTAAATACAATTTTAATGCAATAAATAACATCAAATTAGCTTTGTCATAGTGGTTATGAATTTACCTTGGAGATAAAGTGTGGGAGTTTGTGTTAAAAGAATGAGGTCCAAGTCTTCAAACAAGCATTTTATTTATTTTTTTTACCAAGTGTCCCTCCACGCTAAATATTCTACATATGCCACTGCCTTCCCTCTCTACTCTTAAACATTGACCCGTGGAGTTGAGCTGACTGAACCTGTAATAGGTCTTGGTTCAATAAGATCTTTCATCCGACCTTAGCTTTTTAAAAAAATTATCGATTAGTGAATGTATCAACATTGGTGATCAAATTTACTCTACTACACTTTTCTTATTTTACCAAAATCTATTCCATCCAAGATATAACAAATGAAGAGATATAAAAGTCATCAAATTGTGAATTTATTATTTTTGATGTGCTCCATACAACCCTTCTGTCTATCAAATAGTACAAGAGTATGGTAAAATCGATGACAATATACGAATATACATGTGGAAATTGTATGACAATTATATTGACAACAATGCTAAGTTTTTCGGGAACTTTTCCTAAGAAGTTCCACTTCTCCCATTTTACCAAACTTTTGTCAACCAAATAACATACAAAATTTGCAATTTCTAAGAAGTTTCACTTCTTTTTTTTTTTTTCTTTTTTTTTTTTACGTCAAACGAACAAAGCCCGAGTATGTAAACATTAATTAAATATACAAAAGGGTGGAATAATGAATATTTACAAAATTATTTACTCATAAGTTCTTTCATCCAATCCTAGATGACTCATACGAAAAATTAACAATTGTGATATATGTAAATCTATAGGCTAATTATAAGCATTAAATATATATGTACTCCGTAAT